TTTTTGAGCAGCGAGCAGTCAGACCTGAGTCTGGTAACACTTATGGTGCCTGATAAATATTGAGTTGGAGGAAGAAGATCAGGATGGGTCACTATAGGGACTTCCCTGGTGGTCCCATGGCTAAGACTCTGTGTTCCCAACACAGGGGCCCTGGGGTTCAATCCCTGGTCAGGAAACTAGACCGCACATGCCACAACTAAGACCTCATATGCAGCAACTAAAGATCCCACATGCTGCAATGAAGATCAAAGATCCTGCAAGCCACAACTAAGGCCCAACACAGCCAAATAGTTAAATAAAATAAAATTTGAAAATCTTAAAAAAGAAAAAAAAAAAAGAAAATCTTAAAAAGGACTCATCACTACATAGCTGAATCCTTGGAAATGAACATCACTGAGAGAAAGGATCAATTATAAAGAAAAGGAGGCTAAACTCTTTGCTCTTAGAAACATATGGGTAAGAGATAGATAGGAAAAGAAGAACCACCCAAGATCTACATAAAAAAGTACTTCTCATTAGATTTTGTCACAATCTGCTCCCTTTTAATTTCTTATGCTTTGGTGCTTAATATCTAATGACTTGACATCTGTCCCAGATTTATGCATAGTAGGTACCTTAGAACAGACATACTGATTTTAGTTTTTCAGTCTACATCAAATTTACTATGTATTGTAAAAACAAATTATAAAATATTCTTTCTGACAAAATGGTTTTCCAGTAATCCTTTAAAACACAAAACAAGATCAAGAAACAAGGAGGGACTTGTCTTGACTTTCATTCCTTCAGCAGAAGCTTCCTGTTGGAGCCAAAAGAAAATTTATGGAGAATCCCTTCGCTAACAGGCACAGAAGAGACATCCAGGCACCAAAAGCTCACTTATTAATAAATTAAATTCTATAAAGACCAGATATGATTTATTTTATGTGGACATGGAAGTTCACTGTAAGCTTGATGCACTATGAACATATTACACTAGTACCAATAGCATAGTTTGAAACCTATTTCTTTTCCATTCCTTAAAATTTCTGATGAAAGATCAGTGAGAAATTAAGTATATATTAGTAACAATGTGAAATATGAGTTGGTAAACACTTTGGAAGCCCACATCAATATTTTCACTTTACAGATGAATCTTAATCCCAGAGACTATACATACCACAAGGCTACATTTAACTAACTTATTAAACCAGTTTTATAAATCTTCTTAGCTTTCTTCCCTGAAAGTCAACATGAAGAAAAAATGGCAATCTCTAATGTAATCTCTTCTCCCAAGGCATAAAACAAGTGGTTTCAAAACACAAATAACATTATAACAACACTTTTAAATACTGCCTTCTAATTGCCATTGCAGTCACTACAAACTCCTATAATATCCTCTGTCTAGTCCCAACTGGATGGCATACTCCAAGTCACCTGTACCATTAATAAGCTAAAAAAAAAAAAAAACCAAAACACAAAAACCCACAATCACCAGGCAGAGCAATTTCCAATAGAACAAAACTCACCCACTCTGGCATGTTCATTACCATTTGCAAAAGCATTAAAAAAAAGACTCAAAACAACATTTAACATTTCATTTACATTACACAAGTATTCATTTAACATTAATATTTCATTTAAACTTTTATTTTTAAGCTTAAGTGTCATTACTCATTCAATCCATGGGCATAAATACCCTTAAGAATATCCATAACCAAAAAAAGAAAAAGAATATCCATGACCAGTAAGTGGGAAAAAAAAGTGATATAAAAACCATAGTATGTATCCTCTTGGACAAGGAGTAATACAAAATTTAACATAGCAAATTTTCAGTCAGTTTTGGAACCTGTATCCAATTCTAAAATTAATTGAGCTCAGCAATTATTGTGCGTAATTGTGATTTGGTAATATGCTGGGTATTGATGGTGCAAAAATGAAAAGTAGGTCCTTCCTGTTAATTACCTCAGAATTTTCTAAGGAAGGTAAGTGTATAATTTCATTATAAATATTTACATCCCCACAACCACTCTCCAGCCTAAGCCACCATCATTCTCGCCTGTGAGATAGCAATTGAGTTCTCTCTGCTCTACTCTGATCCTTCTCTAATCCTGTCTCACCACATGGTTCCTTCCACTGCTCTTAAAATAAAAAGTGAACTCCTTAGCTTGGTTACAAAGCCTCCTGGGCTTGGGGGCTCTAGCTCTGCCTCCTCTCCAGTCTCATCCCCTCCACTTTTCCATTGAGTTTAATAAGCTCTGGTCATAGTAGCCTCTTTCTTTGCTGTGAACACAAGCTTGCTCTTGCCTGTGACCTTTGAACTTTGTTTCTTTGTCTGAAAAGCTCATATCTGGCTCTTCAAACAGTTGCAAGATTTAAAATATCAGCTTAGATTTCAAATATCACCTCCTCAAAAATGTTTCATCTGACTATTTGGTTTCAAGAATTCTTATACTCTACTTCCCATCACATCACCTTCTGAAAAGGACATCATCCTATTTATTACCTACATAGCACAACTTCCATTCTGAAACAGAACAGTGCTTTGCATCTTATACAAATTAAAATTAACAAAAACCCTTTGCTAAGAATTTTAAGTTGTGATTTATATGAATTTGACATTCTAAAACTGCACAAAAGGGCTGACAAATCCAAAATACCTATTTACCTACCCAGCCACCTTGTGTCTGCCTAAAATAAATGCTTTGTGTCTATCTAACTGTGTCTATTTACAATGTTGTGAAAAGAAATGGAATATATATTATAGGAGAAAAGCAATGACAGTTATCAAGGGACCCAAAATTTAGTTACTTACAACTAACTTGGGGAAAAACATCATCTCTCTAGGTTTCAATCTACTGATTTATACATCAGAGGTTACATTAGATAAATTTAAAAGAACCTTTCAGTTCTAAATTTTACTCATTTGAAGCAGACTTTTTCTAAACAAAAACTTTAATATTCCCTTAAATGTACATGTTAAAATAACTAGAGCACAGTGAGACAGGAATATCAGGCACTCAGTTATGGGCTTCCTGTCTGTTTGTAGATTATTTTGCCTTAACTACTGCTTTCTGATGCCTCATTTTTTGACTCCTTTCTATTTCTTATTCCAGAATGGGGAAAAATATTGAAACTATTCATAAAAGCATATTGAATTATGCAGTCATCCCTCCCTTAGAAAACAAATGTACTTCTAGTAATGGCTATATGCCAAAAATTTTAAAATAACCAAAGAATACTAAGAAGAATTAGTTTTACACAGGCATTTACAGAACATTTATCACTATTTTCCTAATAACATACACAATAAAGAATCTATTGCATTTTCTGTTAAAACTAAATCCAAAAATTTCTCCTGCAAGTAATACTCCCTATTACCACCCCAGGAAAAAAAAAATTCAGGAGAATATTGAAATATAAAAAATAAATTAAAAGACTAGCAGTGGGTAAAGACAGAGAAGTCAGAATAAGGGAGCTAACTCTTAAAATTAACAGTTTTTTTTTTTTTTTCCCAATGGCATTTCAAATGAAGCAATGATGAAGTTTAAAGGAATTGGTTGTGAAAAATCTAAAGCGTATAATAAAATTATGGGAAAGAAGCTTAGACAATGCAATTAAGTAGAATTAGTTTGAGGTACAGAAAATGCAAGCAGAAAGACAGGATTTAAAAAAGAAAAAAACCTATTTCATAAAATGACAAGAGGTCCTTCAGCCCTCCAAGAAAATAATCAGGGAATTACTTTAGCTCAGTAGGGATACCCAAAATAGTATGCATGAGAAAACCCTAATTTAAAACACTTCATATAAGAAAACCTGAAAAAATAAACTAAATTCTGCAGTAAACTTAAACTAGTTGACTACTATCTTAACATGGCAATAAAACTGCATTGTGAAAGAAAGTCAGGGGTGTGATACAGTTAGTTGCATGAAATTACATGCTGTGCCATGCTGAAAAGATAAAGTATCACAACCCTACGTTTGTAAACATATACACTCCAGCTAATAAAAAAATAAATAAATAAATAAAAATAAAATAAACATATACACACAATATAAACAAACAAATGAACTGATGGTTAATTAAGAGTATCCTCCATTTTAAAATTATCATTTTCCACACTCACAGCCCATCACTGATTCATTTTTACTAGGTGGAAAACGGGAGAAGGAATTTAATATTATACAAATATAATAGTTTTATTTCCTCAAGATATTTCATTCCCATTCATCTTTAAGTTTACTACTTGATAATAACTTGACACATCAAAGTCAATAGTGTCAAAAAAATTCTTTTTCCAAGGGATCAACAAAAGTAAATGCTCTTCAGCTCCTTGAAAGCTATTGCAAATGCAAATAAGATAGAAATCAGTACATCTTACCTGACACCAAACCAGCTATATACATCGCCTCAAGGAACACATGACTCACTACTAACGATGGTGTAGAGTGTAACAGAGTTGTTACAGAAGTTCATTCTGGACTGGTTAAGATAAGCTGAGGGTAAACTTGGTGAAAGACACATCCTTTAGAGTCTACAGTTTTTATCCTTAACCCCAATCTCAGGCCTTTAGAGGCTGGGGTACCTCCAAATCTTCCAGAAAGCAAGATTTGGTAGCCAAAAGTTAAGCCTCTAAAGCTTCAAAATATTACATTCAGTGAGCAGTATATTGCAATTTAGAATGAAAAGAGAGCTAATATTAATATTTTAATTATATACCATGCATCAGGCAAGGAGTGAGATGATTTGCTGATGAGATCTCACTTAAACTCCAAACTGAACTGGGGGAGGGACTGAAAATACCTTTCACCACTGAAGTCCTATGAAAATAACTAAGGGAAAACATAAGGCATAGCCCTTGTTACCGTGAATGCTTTGAACAAGAAGGCAAGACTACAGCTGAAGGCTATGTCTGCAACGGCAAAGTCAATGTCCTCTCAAAATGTTCTTTATCGGTGCAACCTGAATCTCATATCAGCATTCATAATTGTGGGGGACATGGAAAAAACTATCAACCACTCACCATAATGCATGTAACAGTTTCCTTTGGTGGGGTCCAGTTCAATAGCCTTCAAGAAGAACTTTTCAGCCTCACTCTTACGACCCTTGAAAAACAGAGAAAATGGATGATTCAGCAGCACATCATGAAGGATTCTTCACCTCCTGGGACCGTATGAGGTAGACTAATGTCTACCTGTTACTCATCATCAAAAAGCAGTGCTTTGTTTTTACCTAAATGGGATGATCAAGCAGAATGTGTTGAGAGAGAAGACTGAAGTCAGAATCCTGGAAAACATCAGGGTGAGAAGAGACAGGGAAAGTGAGTTCATCAAAGATGTCACAGAGAACCAGGAGAGCAAGAGAAAAAAGGGAAAAAACGGTTTCGCGGAAACCAAAAGGATGAGAGAGTTTCCAGGGATGATGGGAAATGTGTTTTCATTTTCTATTTTATTTTCTCCCTTCAATTTCTGTTGTCAACATTCATTCATTCATTCTTCTTTGTAAAGAATGATGATCATTTTAGCTTTTGAGATGATTTTGTCCTAATGTTTACTTTATGTAGGAAGAAACTAAGTCACAAGTTGTTGAATCTCAAGCGAATGCTGCTTATCCTTGCTGCTGTCACTCAGGACTACAACATACCTACATCAGGATTTAGTCTAAAGCTAGATCTTCTCCCTAGCTACAGTTTTAAGTGAACATTACCATCAATCTCAGAAGAAAATAAGCAAAAAGTAGGAGCAAAGGCTTATATGTAATAAACTGATTTTTTATGAAATAATAGCATAATCCAGGCAGATTCTAAAACGAGACATTTTTTGCTGTGTTGTAGCTTCTGAACCAAAACTGCCTACAGAGTAACAAAAAGGGGGTGACTCAAGCTAAGAGAACAGTCCAAAGAAGACCCTTCCTAAAAAAGCCCTGTCCTGTACGGCAAGGGTAAAATGAAGATCTATGTTAACTGGGTGGAAGCAAGTCATGGGTGGTACCCGGAAGCTGTGGGTCTAAAGAAGAGAAAAACAATCTCATCTGATCATTCCTTCTAATTCATACACTGTCTACCACATTAGCTTCATGTGATGTTTTTCTTTCCCCTTCACATACATATTTTTTAAACCACTCTTAAGGAGATAATTATTCCAAAGATAGAGGTATATGATTAATCTAATATTCTACATATTATGCAACTTTGACTCATGTCTCCAAAAGACCTCTTCTTTTTGTTTATTCATTTTGCTTAAAAAGTTCATTCTGTTGCTCTTTTACTCACCCATTATTCCAGCAGCAAGTGATAACTATACCGATCAGACCACTGACTTTCTCTTTCATTTTACTAATGTTACTCATGTCAATAACTCCTGTTTAATTTACAAGAAACATCTGGCCAAATATCCAATAATTAAACATTGAAAATTCTCCTGCGATATTTCTCACAGTGTTTTAACTTCAAAGGAAAGCACAAGCAAAATACTTGCTACACATATTACCCTTTGTTGAAGTTAGTAAGAATTAGCAAGAATCTTACCAAGATAGGATCTCCTAAATGATTAAATAATTGTGATGAACTAGGCAGTCTACAATATGAGTTAAGAGCACAGATTTCAGGAGGCAGAGCAGCTCTCACACTTTTGTAGCTAAATGACCCTTGGAAAATAATTTTATCTATTAGCTATAACTTCCTCTATTACAAAAAAAGAGGGCAGGTGGAGCACAGAAGATTTTTTAGGGCAATGAAACTATTCTGTATAGTACTGTAATGACAGATAACACATCATTCTACATTTGTCAAAAACATATAGAATACACAGCACAAAGAGTGAATCTTAATGTAAACTATGGCTTTTAATTAATAATAATGTCTCAGTATTGGCTCATCAGTTGTAACATGTACAAGACAAGTTCAAGTTAACACAACCAGAGAAGTATAGGAGGATAAGAGACTATATGCCAATTCTATATCTTCTGCTCAATTTTTTTGTAAACTTAAAAGTGCTCTAAAAAGAGCATTTATTATTTTTTTAATATGATGATAATAAAATCTATTTCACATGATTACAGAATTATCTGAAAGGATACACATGAAGTAGTTGTTACAGTAGATAGGCATATTCTATGCTTATAATAAATATTAACATATTTTATTTTGTCTAGGTTTGTCACAGCTTTTCTTCCAAGGAGCAAACATCTTTTAATTTCATGGCTGCATTCACTATCTGCAGTGATTTTGGAGTCCAAGAAAATAAAATGTCACTGATGTCACTGCTTCCACTTTTCCCGCTTCCATTTGCTATGAAGTGATGGGACGGGTGCCATGATCTTAATTTTTTGAATATTGAGTTTTAAGTCAGCTTTTTCATTCTCCTCTTTCATTCTCATCAAGAGGCTCTTTAGTTCCTCTTCACTTTCTGCCATTAGAGTGGCATCATGTGCATATCTGAACCTGTTGATATTTCTCCCAGCAATCTTGATTTCAGCCTGTGATCCATCTAGCCTGGTATTTCACATGATGTACTCTGCATATATATACATACACACTATGCAATAAAATATAGAGTTCTGAATAACGAAGACTGTATCTTGCTTTATTAAAAAAGAGCCTCAAAACACATGGTCAGTCTTTAAATTATCACTGGAAAATAATATACTAAGAACTTGCACAAAATAATAAAACAAAGATACAAAATGAAAATTATCATCGGTAAAGAGTCTGGACAAATGTTTTATAGAAAAATATAAAGGCATCTGTGAACTTTATTCCACTTAAGCTTTAAGGACAGAAGAGAAGAAAGTGGCTCACTTATCACTGTCACAGTAAACAGTGTAGTCAAATTCTTATATGTATAGTCCACTGGCAAAGCAGCAGTGGTGGTGATTTAGTTGCTAAGTCATGACCGACTCTTGCGACACCATCGACTGTAGCCCACCAGGCTCCTCTGTACATGGGATTTTCCAGGCAAGAATACTGGAGTGGGCTGCCATTTCCTCCTCCAGAGGATCTTCCAGAGCCAGGGATTGAACCGGGTCTCCTACATTGTAGGAAGATTCTTTACTGACTGAGCTAAAGCAGCCATATATAGCTTTAAAAAATAACTCAAAATTCAAAGGCCAGTCATCTTAGGTTACTCAAATGAACCAGGTTATTAAAAGACAGTGAGCCCTACCACCTCCTAGATGCAAAACAAATATATAGAAGGCCAGAACATTCTTTTTTGAGGGAAGTAGCAAACCACCACGTAAAAACCCATCTTTCTACTTGGATCACTATTTAGTCAAGTGCCCACTTACATGGAAAATAAAAGTCTCAGAAGAGTATATAAAACTTAAGACTCAGCCAGATGCATAAGCCAGCCAAACACACATATTACTGGGTCACAGGAAGGGTGGTAGTGAGGTAACACTAAGTTTAATCAAGTTTACTCTTTTCACTATTACTGTTTTAGAGGGACTTCGGTTAAAAAAGTAAAGAAAAAATCATGTCTCAGCAGGTTTTTCTTGGCATTGTTTAGATTATGTCAGCATTTCTACAAGCAAGCGTTATGGAGTAGCCTCTGGTTATACAAAACCCCTCCTATCAAGCATCCTTACTCATTGTGTGTCTTGTTTGGGGTGTTTGGACACTTGTGGTGGTTGAGAAAACCAAGCAAAAGGGACTGTGGTCAGTGTGACAGATGAGGGAAATGTGAGTGCAGGGGCTTGGTTTCCACTGCCAGGTCTATGACACATCTGCATATTCATTTGTTTTTTTAAGTGAAAATTTTATTGAATTCCTTGTGCTGTACTAAGTACTAAGGACATAACCATTCAACTGAACCACAGAGTGTCCCTTGCAAGTCCAAGTTGCAGGAAGCGCATAGAAAACAGTGACCCAATAAGCAAGGGAGTCAGCTGCACAGCACTGAGGACTAACAAAGACTTTCTCTGATTCTCACTGAGAGATCTGACCTGGAACTGGACAAGCCTCTGTTTGAATCTTGCTGCCTCTATTTAGCTGTGTGACTCAGTATCTTTTGTAACATCTCTGAACCTCTTTTTCCTCACTTGGAAAAATGAACATAATACCAATTTTGAGGGGTTGCTAAAAATCATTAAGTGGAAATTACTGGTTTCAGCAATTTTATATAATCATCTGAGATTTTTATTCTCTTCATAATTTGGCATTTGAGTAAACAGTGATCAAAGGAGAGAGATGGGTTTTTACTTGGTGGCATAGAAAGCTCTGACATTCTTTGATTTTACTCCTATCTTCTAAAAAAAAAAAATCATTCTTTCTACCATGAAGGCCACCATCTGGTTCCTAATTACCAAAATTCAAAAATACTTTGTAGAACTTTATGTCATGGCAGAAACTAAGCTTCACAATTATCCTATAAGATGTCTCCCATTCCTATCACTTTCCCCTTTCTCAAATAAAAGACTCTTCCAGCTACATCTTCAACATTACTATAGATTTCAGATTTCCTGACTTATAACGTTTGCAGCACTTTACTGAGGATGAAAAACACAGACTCAAGATTAGTACCATTTAAATTCATGAAAAAAAGCATTCTCAATCGGAACTAGGCTTGGTCAGGTCCTCTTCTGATTGGCAGCAGTAAAACATACATATTAACATAAATATTCAGTAACGTTTAGGTAGCCTGTTCTACAGCATATGATTAGTTCACAGCACATTTCTTTTGTTTTCTAATTAAACTGGATGCTACCTTCCCTGCTCAGAAACAGGTGCCCACCTGAGCGGGTATACAACGTAAACAGTATCTCTTTTGACAGCTGATCAATGCTTTTTCCAACTACAAAATGAAGGAATATAAAAATAGATATGTATATAGTAATATTTACACAAACACAACTCCTCCCAAACTTGGAGCTCCTACTTAAGGAAGCACTCAGTAATATTAAACATGAGAGAATTGTATA